TGACTGCTATAACATTTAAAAAATTTTAATAAGAAAGTTTTTACTACTTCCATGTGCTCTTTCTAGCCCTTTCTAGCCCAGTATGCTCTTTTATCACAGCAGTCTGCTCTTGTTTATTGCTGCTGTATCCCTGAAATTATATCAATAGTAAAAAAATAGATTTTTTTTTAAATGCCTCTCCAGTTTTCTATATTTCCCCTGCTTTCAGTGAGGGTGCTTCGTCTGCTTCTGGAGCTATAATTGTTTACTTTCTCTCTCTTTTGGAACTGTTGATTCTTCTTATCTATTCAGTCTTTATTGCTCATCTTTATCAATGTAGGTCTAGATAAGGAAGTACTCCTAGCTGATAAAAGTTCCTTCAGCACTGGTGTACATCTGGATATGTTGCTCTTTGGGCAAGGATGGACCAGTGGGTGGCGAGCATACCAGAGCACACACATCTTTGGTGTGAGTTGGCCAACAAGTAGGGTCAGCTTCCCCTTCCCCTCCTTCCCTCCCCACAGTGAGGAGGAGGATGACTATAGGGTCTGCAAGTTTCTCTCTGGATGTAGCGAGTGAGAATATATGAATAGCCTCTGGAGTATGCTGCAGGGGATGAGTGTGGCATTTTGAGTTCCTCTGCGATCATGACACCTTTTGTAAGTTTTATCTTAGGTGCACTGAGTAATGTCTACATGGTGGACAGCTTTTGTTTCATAGTTTCTCTCCCCACACTGATTATGGTAATTGTTCCCTTTCTTCCTTTGACAACGTCTTTTCTACCCCTCCAATACATAGGGGGTTCATACAATTAAGGGTTGTTTGTCATAGAAACTTGCCTATCTCCCTGCCCATGTTTAGTCACAGTAACGGACGTGTGACTAAGCCTAGTGTAAGTTTTGGTTTAAATAAGTCCATCCTGATACTTCATCAACCTCGCCCGCTGATTGGTCCAAAGGGTGAACAATGACCCAAGCCAGGTCAATCAGAGTCCTTCTCTGGAAGTATTTTGAAGTAGATCTTGGATAGTCAAGCTGAAGACATAAGCTTAAAGGATTCAAATGGCCAGCTCCCTGATCACAGGGAGAAAAACTAGTAAGTGAAAAGAAGCTGATATACTAGGAGAAACAGAATTGTGAGTACTTGCTTCTGGTAACGAAGTTTCTGGAGCATCCAGGTTCCTGCTTTCCCTCAGCTGTGCAGTTCTTCATGTAATTCTGTGAGCTACCCAAATAAATCCCCTCTTTGCCCAAGTCAATTCCAGTTGGAGTTCTTCATCTTAACCAAGAGTATAGTGAATATGGGCATATATAGATCTATATTATATAGATATAGGTATGTAATATATACATTATGTTATATATATTATATTGCTTTTTCACCTCTTTCATCCCATGGAAATCTAACTCTTCAAGGGGGACCCTTGCTTATTTCCGGGGCTGACACAATATTTTCCCTTCTACATTCATTGACTTGCCTCAGTGGGGATAGCAAGAGGGGCAAAGTCAAATGTCGTGCTAAGGTCACTATCTTGTAGACATATACTATATTTGGATCCTTTCTTTAAACTTTCCCTCTATGTTAATTTTCTTTCCTCCCTCCTTTGTGACTCAGTTGTCATTTTCTTTTTCTTTCTGAAATATGAACTGATTTTTCCCCAACACTAAAATTGAGATATAGTGAAGAAATTCAACACTTATAGTAAGACTATAATAAGATTTGATTCCAAAAAAGAAACATGTGTAGCAGGGCATCACCACCATATAAATGCTATTTCAGAAAAAAATTTTAAATATCTGTTGACTTCAGAAATTAAATTTTTGGTCTTGGGCTAGTCACAGGTGCTATCTGAGAGCCTGGCGTGGTCTGGGCACACACACACACCACCCTAGACAAACTCCTGGGCACTCAGTAATTTACCCGGTCTTTTCCACAAACACTTTGACTTCCATTTAAGACTCTCAAAAAACACTCCACTATTTTAGCAGCTAGAAATTCTCCTTTGCGCTTATTGGTAATCAAAAACTATACTAGGAAGTGCTGAAATTTGGGCCACACTCTAAAGTACTGTCTTTGTTCTTGAGAAACCCTACTCTCCCTCTTTTTGTTTCAAAAATCTGAGAAGACAAAATTAGGATGCTTAATCTTTTCTGATAACATACTTGAGCATTTTTTTACTTGAAGCAAAACTTTGTTCATCGGACGTTCTTACAATTGGGAATAGCGTCTTCTTGATGAAGTTGCACACAGTTTAACCAGCCTTGGGATTAGCCTTACCCCCTTTAACCACACATTCCTTTCTTGGTCCTTCTATAACAATCCTATCTAGACACTCTTCTTTTTCCTACAAACATTCCACTGACCAGAAGAGTCTTCCAACTGTCTTTCTGTCTCTAGCTAGTTGCCTGTTGCAAGTCTAAAGCAGAACTGACAGGTACCCATACTAAATCGATCTGAGAGGTTTGCTCTAACACACGGTAAAACTTACATCAGTGAGGGAAGGTGGGCAGCAGGGTTTCTCTGGCTCCCCTGCCCCCTTACATCTCTGACAATGCCTCTTATCTCCTCACTTCGTGCTTGCACCTACCTCTAGATTTTATATGAGCCATTTTGCTTATTTAGAACTCCCTGTCTTATTCAGAGCTGCCATTACAAGCCCATTACATTTTTCTGAACTCTGAAATTCCATCTCTGTGAGAGAACCTCCCTAAATACCCTTGTTTGGTTCGAATCCCTCTTCTACATGGCAGTCTCTCAGAACCCTCCAGCTTGTTACCCCTCTGGATGCGGCTCCTGGACCCTCACTAAGTTGTTCTCTGTGCATGTGGGATAACTCTCTGTTGGCTGCAAACTTCTTTGATGCTTCTGGAAGCCCTTTAGTGGTAATAATACTAATATTAAAAAGCTAACATAGGGGGTTTATTATGCTCCAGACAATGGTAAGTAGTTTATTCGCAAAGCATTTAGACACTGCTTGGCATATAGTAAGCCATTAATAAAGGTTTGTTATTATTACTATTTATAGCCCTATGAACTTGGTATTATTATTATCTCCATTTGAAGATAAGAAAACCGTGAGCCACAGAGAATTACACCACTTGTACAGCGTCACAGGGCTCATTAAGTGGCGGAGACGGAACTTGATCCCAGTCTGTTTAGCACCAAGAGCTGTCCACGTTCTCAACCATTACAAAAACTTGGCTAAATACACACACACTAATCAACCTTTTTTTTTTTTTTTTGCAATCATACCTTGCAGTTTTCAGAGCAGTGTAAGTTGTACTTAAGACAGGTCTTACTCTGGAACTCTTTCCTCTTAAAACTCAGCTGCCTCATAGATACAAGGAAAAAGGCCCAAGTATTTGCATCTCCCTGGAGTTTCATTTTGAAATTTAGATGCCATTGAAATATGTGTCCTCGGGGAGAACAATGAGTTTTTATAAACTTCTAAGTTGCTAAGAAACTAAGTTTTTGTTTTGTAACTGTTAACGTGCTACTTCAGTCAGCTCCTTTGGTTATATTGTCTTTAGTACGTAGTTCTCCATTGCCAATGCCTTTTATTTGCTCTGTCAGGAAGAACTAGACTATGTCAAGGGCTGGGGAATACAAGTTCATGGGTATATGTATAACATAATGATTAATAGTAGTATTGAGGCTCAACCCTGAGCGTGTAATGCATTTCAATTCTTCAAGTTCTTCCATGGGATGCTCACAATTGCTCCGCGATGTAACGGCTTTTCCCCTAGTCTTGTTGCTAGATTGTCGAGGAAGAAGTGCCCACTTCCGCTGTTGTCCCCTAGGGTTCTAAAGAAGCCTTCCCTTCCTTCCATGTCCCTTCCTTCTCCCTCTTCTGCCTTAGCCGTCAGAGCCTGCTTGCACGGAACGGAGGTTCTCCGGACCCGGGGCCTGGGCCCTCTGAAAGGCTGCCGGGGACCCTGGACACCAGTCAGGTGACAGATTCTCAACCCTAGCAGCCCGGGTGCCATAACCTTTCCCACTTAGGCAGGTGCCCGGTCCCCAGATCCCGTCCCTGGCAGCTGCACAACCCCGGACTCCACCCACCCCTCCGGCCAGAACCGGCACCACTGCCTCCCTCCCGATTTCCACCGGGGCGAACGAACCGGCTGGAAGGCGACTGCAGATGCCGGAGGCGCGTCGCGAAAAACGTGTCATTTAGAAGAAAGTTGGCTTCCTGCGGGGACAGCCGCGGGCAGCTGCAGCCCCACTGCACGCGCGGGGTCCGGTCTGCGCGCCCGCGGCGGGAGGGCGGGCGGGGAGGGAGCGGCG